GGGTGCTCAGCCCGGCAACTTCCCCAGGGCTGGCTGGACTCTGGTTTCTCACTCAGCAAAGCCCCACCCCAAGTCCTCGCCTGCCTCCCGCAGAGGAGGAGCATCTACCGGCATCCTCTGCCCCATGCCGGCGAGCGCTTGGTGGATCAGCCGGGCTGGTGGGGACCCCAAGTGGGACACGGCAATGGGCCCCCAGCCCAGCTGCAGGGGTTAGGGCAGCCTCAGCCTCACCCCCCCCCAGACTGGGCATCCCACAATGGCACGGGCTGTCTCCCACCCACGCACCCCCTCCGTTGGCAGCCCCAGACCTCCAGGCAGGATCAGCCCCTGCCCCCGAGGGCTCTCACCAGGCCCCAGCACCCCAAACTCCCGTGCAAACCTGCCACTTTGGTGGCAACAGGGTGAAAATGCACCATGCACTGAGCCAGGAGCCTGGGGACACAGACCTGTCGCGTCTTTTTGCCCCCGTTTATTTTCCAGCCCTTGTTATGAGATGGCAGAAACCTCCAGGGCTGTCGAGCCAGAACTGAACCCTCCAGCACCCCAGGCCAGGGCAGAGCTGGCTGCCAGGATCCCACCCGGGATGCATGCCATGGGGGCACCACGGTTTCCCCGCACACCCCAGCTCCTCGCTGGAGCGTTGGGCATCATAGTCCTGGCTGGGGACGAAACCCCTTCCATCCCCACAAGCCAACGTGGGCCGCATGGGGCCCTTCCCATGGTCCAGTTTGTCCCTAGCTCCTCCACTCTCCAAGCCTCATTTCTCCCCCACTGATTCCCTCCTCCAGACCCCCAGCAGGAACATGGCCCCGGCAGCCCGGAGCACCCACCATGAGTCGCCCAATGGCATCACCTGCACCCAGCTCAGAGCCAGGCACTCCTCCACACCTCCTCCCGACACAGCAACTCTCCTCGCTGGCCTGGACTTCTCCTACCTTTGGAAAGACCCCCGACGTCTCTTCCCAGGCTCTGTCTTCTACAAATCCCCCGTGACACCTTCCAGCCCCGGCTGCTCGCTGTGGGTTCAGGTGGAACCGCTGGCCTTGGTCACATCTGCGAGGACAAAGGTGGCCATGGAGACATAAGGTAGGGCAGGAAGCAGGCAATGGTGCCAGGAAGGAGAGGAAGAGCTGTCCGCAGGCTCCTGGATCCGCTGGCTTTCGCTTTTCCCACGCTGTTTGATTTTTAAATCCTTAACCTTCCATCACGGGATGCCAGTGGCTCTGTCCCTGCGGGATTCCAGGGAGCTCAGTGCGGGTGCCTTGCCTGCATCGGAGCAGGGGCAGTCCGGTATTTGCACCCAGGAAGGGGCTAGAAGACACCGGGAGGGCCAAGGGAGCTGGTACGGCGCAACCCAGCACAGATTTGCTGTTTAATCGCACGTGGTAGGGAAGGGATGTGGGGCTTGGCAGCTCACGTGGGATGTCAGAACGACCAGCAGCAGCTGCAGGATGGGGAGGGCTTTTCTCACTGCAGATGCCACATGAGTCCCATCCCTGCACAGGAAGGAACCAGGGCTTGGTCCTTCCTGCCCTAGCGGGAAGGAAGGGGAGGGTGAGGGGCCACGGCACGCAGGGCAGCCCTGGGGTCCCCAACACTCGTGGGTGCAACAGGCAGCCCCGCCACAGAAAAATGCCTTTTGGAGAACACACAGCACTGCTACGGGGTGCAGCAGAGCCACCAG